CTTGTTTGTGTAGTGGTAATTGAGTAATCTAATTGATTGGATGATTTTATTAGAATTAGGTTAATTGGATTCATGTCGGTTGTGTAGTGGTACCTGAGGGAACTGCATCTCCTTTTTTTTAGTTATACGGATGCAAGTATTAATTGGCAATTCATGTGATGATGCTACAATATAGCTATAGAGATTGGCTAAAATTTTTGGTGGTGTAATATGGCAAAAAAAACCTTTTAATGCATACTGGAAACCTCTTCATACAAGCCATAAAGACAGTAAAACAAACCACAAAAAGCTAACTAGAAACATCCTAAAGCAGAACACAAATCGCCTAAAACATACCAGAAAACTTACAAAGCAAACCACAAATATTTCTAATGCACACCAGAAACCTTCTAATGCAGACAATAAGTATGATAAAACAAACAACAAAAAACATACCAGAAACCTCTCAATGCATGCCACAAATTCTCTAAAACAAACCATAAATCTCACAAAGCAAACCATAAATATTTTGAAAACACACACCAAAAACCCTCTAATGCAAACCACAACCACGGTAAAGCAAACAAAAAACGTCCTAATGCATACAACAAATATATTTAAACAAACCAGAAACCTCGCAAAGCAAAACACAAATATATTAGAACAAACCAGAAATCTCGCAAAGCAAACCACAAACTTCTCAATGCAAACCACAAACACGATAAAGCAAACCATAAAAGGCATAAAAAATATATGAGAAACCAAACCATAAATCTCACAATGCTAACCATAACATCCGGTGATCGTTGACCGTTGACAGGTCAACAAAGTTCGTTGACCGAATTCCGGTGACCGTCAGTGAGCAGATTCCGACGCCGATAAGCATATTCCGGCCCCGATGACTAGATTCCGACGCCGGTAAGCATATTCCGACGCCGATAAGCATATTCCGGCGAAAAAAAGTATATTCCGGCGACCATTTTCCGGCGATCGGTGGCAGAATTCCGGCGACCAAATTTGTGGGCAGAAAATAAAAAAATATTTTTTTTATTTTTATTTAAATATATTTTTCATAATGACAATTATACCCCTGCTTTGATTTTACACTAGGTCAACTTATCTAATAAAAAGTCATCACAATCCTAACTTCCTATTGGTTGGGGACTAGTGTTGTTACAATAACAACACAATGAGTGTTGTTATAGTAACCGGTCCTCATAATACTTATTGGGGAGCGGATAGTATAACAACACTATGAATGTTGTTATACTAACAACAAGATTCATTAAGGGTAAAAGGGTAAACTAACACAAAATAACAAATTAAAATTAAAAAAATAAAATTTCAATCACAGCCACACGTGCGCCATCTCCCTGTACAGCACGCCGGAGAACTCCCTCTTGAGGTCGGGGGCCGAGTAGGTCTCGATGAAGTCGGCGCTGAAGTAGAACTTGTTGACGAAGAGCTTGAGCTGCTGGGTACCCTCGCCGGTCGGTGGCGTTGTGCTGGAGGAAGACGTGGTTGAGGACGAAGTCCGCGGCGGAGGACAGTTGGGAACGGGCGTAGTCGGCGCAGGTCCGGCAACCCACATCGCATCGTTTCGCGTCAGAGCTCCATCGCTGCCGCCGACTTTTACACGGGGTAGAAACAGGACAACGGAGTGGAATCCGAATCCCCGGGGACAACGCAGGAGATTTCTTCTTCTCCGATCTGCCTTGCATGTTCCTCGCGAGGCCGCCGCCGCTCTCTCCGCTTCGTCAATCCACCGTGGAATATAGCGCCTTCCGAAAGAAGTTTGTCCATTGCTCTGTCTTTTTCATAAATTTCTCGAGGAAGTTCCAGATTGTGAAGTTGCTTGCCCCGAATTTGATTATAAGCCTTCTTCTAGATCATAACAAGTTATATTGGTTAGGCTAAAAGAGGTTCTTGTTGGAGGTATTGATTGAACAAATTGCAGAGGAAGGAGGAAGAAGGTGGTTTGCAGAGCTGAGGAAGAATGAGAGCTCGTGGATATCATCAATTGGAAAATTACATCATTCAATTACATATTCGGACTATATAGCAAGGGTAAAATACTAATTCGTACACAAATTAAATAAACATTACAAAGCAATCTAACAACCATATAAAAGTTGCATCAAGGTCCACAAATCTTCACCCTCGGACAACAGTTATGCAGAAAAAGCACAAACATACATAGTTCTAAAGCACACTATAAACCTCCTAATACAAATCATAAATGTGATAAAACATACCAGAAATCTAACAAAGCAAACCATAAAATTTTCAAAAGCACACCAAAAAATACATAATGTAAACCACAAACACGACAAAGCAAACCACATAAAACAACCAGATTCTTCCGAATGCATAACACAAATCTGTTAAAACAAACCAGAAACCTCACAAACCAAATCACAGAATTTTCAAAACCAACCAGAAACCTTCTAATGCAAACCACAAAAGCAAACCAGAAACCTCCTAATGCATACCACAAATCTCCTAAAACAAACCAGAAACCTCGCAAAGCAAACCACAAAATTTTCGAAAGCACACCAGAAACTTCTTAATGCAAACCAGAAACGTCATAATGCAGACCAAAAATATATTAAAACAAACCAGAAACCTCACAAAGCAAACCACAGAATTTTCAAAAACACACCAAAAACCTCATAATGCAAACCACAAACACGTTAAAGCAAACTACAAAAACAAACCAGAAACGTCCTAATGCATACCACAAATCTCCTAAAACACACCAGAAACCCCTCAATGCAAACCACAAATTTTTTGAAAACAAACCAGAAACTTCTCAATACAAACCACAAACACGATAAAGCAAACCAGAAACTTCTTAATGCAAACCACAAACACGATAAAGCAAACCACAAAAGGCATACAAAAATATGAGAAACCAAACCATAAATCTCACAATCAGACTATAACATCCGGTGGTCGTTGGTTGTTGACCGGTCAACGAAGACCATTGACCGGTCAACGAAGTTCGTTGACCGAACTCCGGTGACCGGATTCCGGCGCCGATAAGCATATTCCGTCCCCGATGACTAGATTCCGATGCCGGTAAGCATATTCCGACGCCGGTAAGCATATTCCGGCGACGGTGAGCATATTCCGATGACAAAATAGCATATTCCGGTGACCGGCGACCAGATTCCGGCGACCGGTGGCCGAATTCCGGTGACCAAAAATTTGGGCAGAAAATAATAAATGTTTTTTATTTTTTTTATTTTTTATTTTTTTTATTTTTTTATTATTTAAACAGATTTTTCATAATGACAATTATACCCCTGCTTTGATTTTACACTAGGTCAACTCATCTAATAAAAAGTCATCATAATTCTAGCTTTCTATTGGTTGGAGGCTAGTGTTGTTACAATAACAACACAAAGGGTGATGTTATAGTATCTAGTCCCTACTTATTGCTGCACTTCGCCATGGCGGGCATCGCTAATTGTAACATTAACAATGGGGAAGGAGTAAGACTAGCGAGCAGCAGATCAATGGGGTCGACGTCATTGAGCCGCAGCGGAAGTTTTTGGTCGGACTCGGAGGCAGGGGAGGAAGCCAAGCGGCAGGGCATTTCGAGTTCAGAGAAGGACGAGCTGAAATGGGCGGCAATTGACTTGGTTTCTTGACTGGGGACTGGGGAGGAGAAGTTTGTAGAATAAGACTAGTTTTTTGGTTCTCTTGATATTCGTTGGCATGGCACCCTAGGCGAGCTTGCTGACAAGTGACAATGGTAGAAATCAACATTAGGATGGGAATGGGTCGGGTTTTGCCAAACCCATGAGTTTATTCGTGAAAAAAAAAAAATATATGGGATAAAATCCAACTGAGTTTGAAAAGCTCAAACCCAACCCAATTCACTGGGTATCTACGGGGTTTTGTCGTAAAAAATTTACAATAACAAGTTCCTATCAAAATTAAAGCGGATACCAGAGATAGTAGGGTTGGGGTTATTCTGGAAGAAATTATGCAGTGTTTCGATACTCACTCTGGGTTTAGTTTACGATTTGTAGGTCGGAATAGCAATAGGGTAGCCTATGCGGTGGCTAGAAAGGCCTTTACTTTGTACCCGTCTACGTGTCGTTCTTTTAATTTTCAGATCTGACTGAATTTCAGAATGTAACTATCTTCATATTTTGAATCAATATATATGATTATCTTTTGTAAAAAAAAAAAAAAATTTGAGCCACGCTAATGCCGGTCATGGACTTTAGAACCGCCTCCGAGCCTGATGTCATTGTTCCACAGAATTAGAATATAAGTGTTGAATGGATAGCTGGAGGTATTACCAGAATACTTAGGGCCCGTTTAGTATTGTTGCTTGTTTTTGTTTCCTGTTGTGTTTTAAGAAATTTGGAAAACCAAGAAAAAAAAACGTGTTTAGTTGGGTTTTTATTTTTTGTTGTGAATCAGAGTTGCACAACAAGGCCCAAATATGAGAAACAACAATTTATAGCTTTGGATCTGATTCTTAAACATGTTGCACACGGGATTCCTACTGGTAGGGCGCTTGATTTCATTAAAACAAACCAGTTTTCGAATCCCCACAGAAGCAAAAAAATTTCTTTTTTTTTTAAACACAGCCCCCCCCCACCAAAAAAACCCTACTTCGACAGCCGCCCCAACTCATTCCATTTTCTTTCTTCTTCTCGACAGAGACTCGCCCCTCACATCTGCCGCCTCGCCTCCTCCCGCCTCTTTCTTCTTTTGATATGCTATTTACTTATGTAATAGCAGGATGGGAAGGCACTGCGAATGATGCTAGACTACTAATGGAGACAATCGCAAAATCCAAATAATGATTTTCCAATGCCACCAAAAGGTATGATATCTACATTTCATTCATTTATTAATACAATATGAGTGATAGTGAGATCTTATTAGTTTATTTTCAACATATTCATTTAGGTAAATATTATCTTGTGGACTCTAGATTTCAAAATATCCCTGGATTTCTAGCACCATTTCGAGGAGCTACCCGTCATTTTCAAGAGATGAGGCGTAGAGGCGGACCAAGAGGGCGTAAAGAATTATTCAACTTCCGGCATTCAAGTCTGTGTAATGTGATTGAGCGTTGCTTCGGAGTTTTAAAGGCAAGGTTTCCGATTCTAAAGTTCATGCGGTCGTATAGCTTGAGGAAGCAAACAAGTATTGTCATTGCTTATTGCGCCTTACATAATTTCATCAAGATTCATGCCGAAGATGATAAACTATTTCATGAATATGAAAATTATGAAGATGAAGAAGGTTCGACTTTTGGGGTTGAATTACCACTCACTGAGTTCAACGTCAGCTATGCAGCAACACGTGAGATGACCGAGAAGCGTGATGCCATTGCTAACCAGTTATGGAGTGATAATCATGTTTAGTATTATTTTTTATGTAAGGAACATGAAAGATGTTAGGCAAATTGAATTTTGTGACTTTGCTTAATATTGAGGACATGTCTTTTTTTTTTTTAGTTCTTACAGTAGTAACTAAACGCGTTTTTGTTTCTTGTTTTCAGCTTTCATGATTTTTCATATTTATCAACTAAACAGGTTTGTGTTTTCTGTTTTTTTCCTGTTGTGGTTGTACATCTGTTTACACAACACCACTGCAACCACAACAACAACAAAATGATACTAAACGGGCCCTTAGATAATTGAATTATGTTTCAAAGAGAGAGGGAGAATCATAGGGTTATTAATGAGTCGAGCCGAATCGAGTTTTGCTTGTTCATGTTTGGTTTGTTTATAAACAAGTCGAATTTGATCTCGACTTGTTAATAAACGAGTTGAGTCGAGTCGAATACGAGACAACTCATTTATTAAATCTTGACTCATCATTAAGATCGAAAGTTTGACTTGCGCTCTAACTCTAAGATAATTTATAAAATACATACTCCAATATTTAAATGTCATATGTGATACATGTGATTCCATGATCTAATGTCATATATGAGACGTATTTTCACATCTACTAAATGTATTAAACATCATATGAGGTGATATATACAATTTAATAATTCTATGCATCATTAACAAACCAACCCATAAAACATAGATCGATTTCTCATAAGTTGTAGTCGAGTTGGCTAACTAGTCACAATGTTGGGACATTTCATAAGCTCAAAACGAGACAGTTTATAAGTTGTACTCAACAAGCCACCTAATCAAGTTAGTTCACGAGCCGAACAAGTAGTTAATAAACGAGCCGAACATATTTTAAATCGAACGAGCTTTTATCGAGTTAAATACCGAGCCGCTCACAAATAGTTTGGTTTATTAACAGTCATAGGGAGAGATAACGCCAAACCCTTGGGGCTTACACTCATTAATTTAGGAAGCACTAGCATAATGTCGCTGGCTACCATGACATTTAATTTTAAAGAGATAGTTTGAATGTTGACCTAAAAATGAAAGAGATCTTTTTCCAAAAACAAAAAAAATTGAAAGGGATATTGTAACATCACGAACCTTTTACCGATAAGATATTGTTTTCTTGGGCCTAGACCCTCATGAATTAAACCTAGGGATGGTATTCAGTAACCCGGTATTCGGTATGATCGGTTACCTAACTAGTTACTGACGGTATTCGGTAATACTGTTTAATTTCAGTATCGGTATTCAACAGTAAAAAATTGGAAATGGTAATGCCAAAACATAGTCGGTAACATACCCACGACTAGCCGGTATACCATAATACCAAATCAATTGCTCCTAGTTGAAAAACATCAGCAGATTGTCCCCAAATCCTACCCTAATTCCCTGCTTCGCCACCCCGTGTCTGCCTCCACACACCATATACCGGTATATCGACTAAGATCTGGTATCGGTATTCGGCAACCACAATACCAGAATCTGGTATACCGAATACCGGATAAACGGTAACCGATATACCAGATACCGACCGAATACCAACCCTAATTTTACCTTAGGATGCTTATCAATGTGACTTACCATAAGGTCACTCATCATTATTGTGCTACATTATGAGCACGTTTAACTTGGGAGTTCTTTCAAGAACTCCTCCATTTCATTCAAAAACACGTCTTGTTAGTTAAGTTCGGTTTCATACTTATGAACCGTGGATCTCTCCCCTGCTTTGTCGATGTGGGATTCGCCTAGGGTTTATTTCATTCTTAATCTTTCTTTCCATGAGTTTGTCCGCTACAACAACATGTAGTCGACGAAGCGATGAACTTGCATTAGAGAGAAGGGTCGTTGAGAAGATGATTTCTACGTTTAACCTTCTCTCATGACGCTATTGGTTCAGTTTGTAGGGCTAGTTGAACCTTCTATAGTTTTTGAAGAAGCAACTTTTGGCTTGAGATTTTAGAGAAATATTTAAATAAACAGTTGATTGTTTGACTGTATTTTTTAATTTTTAATATAAGAGGTCATGTAAAATGACTAAAGATGATTTCTATTTAAAAATATTAATAAAAATCTAAAAAATTTAAAAGCAGTCAAAATGAACTTTGTTAGGTATTTTTCATATTGAATAATATTATATCATAATTTATTTAATTTTTAAAATGATATAAAAATTATTTTTTCTAAAAAAATAAAATATGGCAAGTATAGTTTTGTATGTTCAAAACTTAGCTTTTCAAAAAAAAAAAAAAAAAAATTGGAACTTATACTTTTTTAAGTTATGAAAAACACTTTTAACCTCATTTAAAAGCCAAACTTTTAAAGATGTTTTGCTCGACTTCAACTTTTGAACCATAAAAAAAATATAGGCAAAACATAGTCGTACACTTTTTGCTTTGTATATGGCTCTTTTTTTAATGGATTTCGGGAATGACCACAGGTTTGAGGCGGTTCAACTCGCATTGACCGGGTCAAATTAGATTGGATACCCATGGATTTTGGTTCAATTGTCTTTTTCAACAAAACAAAAAGAACACTAAAACGGATAAAACTCGCTCCAGATTTAAAAATCGTCAAAACCAGGTTCAACTCGCTTTGACCTAGTTCAATCAAGTTATTAATAAATTCACACCTGACACAACCCGCCAATTAGAAAGCGAATAAAACTCGCACCTGTTTGAAAACTTGTAAACACCATATTCAAGTTGATTTGACCGGGTCAAATTGTGTTGGACACCCATGCGTTTGGGTTCAATTGTCATTCTCAACCAAAAGAAAAAAAGATAAATAAAGAAAACCTAAAGCGGATAGAACTCACCCTCGACCCAAAACTGTCAACACCGAAATCAACTCGCTTTGACCGGATTGAACCGAGTTTTTAACAAATTCACACTCGACCCAACTTGCAAATTACCAAAGTGGATAAAACTCATTCTCGATACAAAACTCGTCAACACCATATCTGGGTTCAAGTGTCACTCTACCAAAAGCAAAAGTAGAAATAAATAAAAAACATTAAAGCGGACGAGACTCGTTCTCGAACCAAAGCTCGTCAACACCGTGTTCAACTCACTTTGACTGAATTGTTAACAAATTCACTCTCGGCCCAACCTGCCAACTACAAAAGTGAATAAAACTCGCTCACGATATAAAACTTGTCAATACTATGGATTTGGGTTCAATTGTCATTCTCAACAAAAAAAATGAGAAATTTAAAAACACTAAAGCTAGGTTCAAGTCGTTTTGATCGGGTCAAGTTAGGTTGGATAACCATAGTGTTCAATTGTCATGCTCAACCAAAAGAAAATAGAAAAAAAAAAACTAAACCGGATGAAACTCGGCCACGAAACAAAACTCGTCAACACATAGCATATATGCCCTATGTTTGGCCCGACTTTTAGAAGCGCTTTTCGATTTCAAAAGCTGAAGCAGGGCCAAACGCCTTTAAAAGCTCGATTTTTGAAAAACCGAAAAGCGCTTTCGTATAACATAAAAGTAGAAGCTCCGATTTTGAGCTTCTGCAAAAAGTTGTTTTGAAAATACAAGATCATTCTTACCGTATTTTAACTTTATTTCATAAAATATAATTTTATTTCATTTATATTACTGTAAAAATAAAATAAAATATAAAATTATATTATTTAATATAAAAGAAATCTAACAAGATTCATTTTGACTACTTTCTATTGTTTAGAATTTTTATTCATATTTTATATTATAAGTCTTTTATAGTCATTTTACACAACCTCTCATATTAAACGCACTTCTAATAGTTTTTCAATCAAATACTCAACTGCTTTTTTGAAAAATACTTCTCTAAAAGCTCAAACCAAAAGCTGCTTCTGCAAAAGCTACGGCAGGGCCAAACTAGCCCATGGTATGAATATTCGGTACCGGGCTTGGAAAACTTAGTATTTCAAGAAAGGTTGTGAATTGGTGAGCGAATGCGATAATTAGACAAAGCATATCTGGTATGGATATTCGATAGCAGCCACCCAACTAACAATAACTAAACATAGAGGTTTTATAGAATACGAGAATGGAGTAAAAGAAAACACGTGTCACTTCCCCACTTGCGGCATGGAGTTTTTGGAGCCGGCAACGAAAAGATAATAATTCTGATTATAACAATAGGAGGTTGCGTCATAGACTACTATGGTGGAATATTATTGTTCGTCTTTTAGCGAAATGGCTGTTTCGGCGACTTGGTAAGTTGGTATATTCTGCGACCAACTAAAGGAAGAAAAAAAGAAAAGAAAAAAGAAACAGAGCTTTGGGATTAACAGGTAGTCACGCTAATTCGCTAAATCTAATGCCGGCCGTGGACTCTTTAAGAACGCCAAATACTATAATTCTCAACCGCTCCGAGCCTGAATATTAGAATACAAGTGTTGAATGTATTAGATCCGAGGCTGATTCCCCTGTTCAAGAGATTGGGACTAGAATACTTAGCGGCTAGCGCCCGGCCCTGCTGCACTTCGCCATGGCGGGCATCGCTTCTGATCATGCCACTCGTAACAGTAACAATGGGGAAGCAGTAGTAGCTCCCAGAAGATCAATGCGGTCGACGACGTCGTTGAGCCGCAGCGGGAGTTTTGGGTCCAAGAGTTCGCGGGACGCGGCGTTTGACGGCGGGTCTGGGAGCCAAGCGGCAGGGCATTTCGAGTTCCGGAGGAGGACGACGGAGGACGACGAGGACGAGCTGAAATGGGCGGCGATTGAGCGCCTCCCCACCTTCGACAGGCTGCGGAAGGGGGTTCTGAAGCATGTCGCCGACGGCGGTGCAGGGGAAGTTGAGCTGCAGGAAATTGACGTGGGGAAGCTCGGCGGAACAGAGAGGAAGCTGCTGATTGAAAGCCTTCTGAAAGTCGCGGAAGAGGACAACGAGAAGCTGCTGCGTCGGATCCGGCACAGGACCGATGCCGTCGGGATTAAGATTCCGACAGTGGAGATTCGGTTTGAGGGTCTCTCTGTTGAAGGCGATGGGTACGTCGGAACCAGCGCTCTCCCCACTCTGCTCAATTTCGTGGTGAACACTGTTCAGGTATGTGCTTAAATTCATCCCCTGCTCTATTCGCCGGCGAATTCCAAATTCAGATTATAACAATTGCCAAATAACTGGCAGAGGATTCTTGGGTTTTGTCGGGCTTTCTCGACCAAGAAAAGAGCGGTGAGGATTTTTCATAATATAAGCGGAATTGTAAAGCCATCAAGGTAGTAGTGTATACAGTTCCCCCACTTTATATATTCATCACTTTTTCAAACTTGAGATGAATACTTCCTTTGAGTTTGGCTTGTTTCAGAATGACTCTGCTCTTGGGGCCTCCGGGATCAGGCAAAACTACCCTCCTGAAGGCACTTTCCGGAAAATTGGATAAGAATTTGAGGGTCTCTATCCAGCTCTACTACCATCCCTCCACCTTTCTTGGACTGGAAATCCTGATGCTTATATATGTACGCAGGTGTCAGGAAGGGTGACATATTGCGGACATGAGTTCCACGAGTTCGTGCCTCAGAAAACTTGTGCTTATATCAGCCAGCATGAATGTCTACTTGGAGAGCTGACCGTCAGGGAGACGCTAGAATTCTCTAGTCGATGCTTGGGAGTTGGGACCAAGTATGACTTGTTGGCTGAGCTATCCAGAAGAGAGAAAGAAGCAGGAATCATGCCAGATCTGGAGGTTGATGCATTCATGAAAGCTACATCCATTTCTGGACAGGAAAACCAGTTCGTTGTAGATTATGTACTCAAGGTATTTAAGAATTTATGTTCATCTTCATTATTGTGCAGACTTTATTTGTACTTGGTAGCTGGAACCTCCTAACATAACGAGATATAATTATTGTCTTGCTGTGGAATTACTCCCTTTAATGAATAGTGAATTACCTTAAGCAATAGTAATTAACTGATTGGTTTGATGGCAGCTTCTTGGGTTGGACCTCTGTGCGAACATCATTGTCGGTAATGACATGAGAAGGGGGATATCTGGTGGACAAAAGAAGCGTGTCACTACAGGGGAGATGTTAGTTGGACCTGCTAAAGTGTTTCTGATGGACGAAATCTCAACCGGATTGGATAGTTCTACGACTTACCAAATTGTCAGGTTTATGAAACAAATGGTCCATATTATGGACGTCACCATGGTCATCTCCCTTCTACAGCCTGCACCGGAGACTTACGAACTCTTCGACGACATCATCCTCATCTCCGAGAACCATATTGTTTACCAAGGTCCAAGGGAAAACGTCTTAGAATTCTTCAAAAATGTTGGTTTCAAGTGTCCTGAAAGGAAAGGAGTAGCAGACTTCTTGCAAGAGGTTACTTCCAGGAACGATCAAGAGCAATATTGGTTCAGAATCAATGAACCTTATCGATACATCTCAGTAAGCGAATTTGTGATGTACTTCAAATCATTCACGATGGGAAGAAAGCTTGTCGAGGAGCTCATGATGCCTTACGATAGATCTAGTGTCCATCCTGCTGCACTAGTGAAAGAGAGATACGGAATCTCAAACAAGGAACTCATGAAAGCATGTTTTGGGAGGGAGTTGTTGTTGATAAAGAGGAATGCTTTTATATATATCTTCAAGAGTGTGCAGCTCACCATCATGTCAATAATTTGCATGACTATGTTCTTCAGGACTGAGATGAGGGTCGGGCACTTGATAGACGGGAACAAGTTCTACGGTGCTTTGTTTTACATTCTGATCAACATTATGTTCAATGGAATTTCGGAGATGATTTTGACCACACAAAGGCTTCCTGTGTTTTACAAGGAGAGGGATTCCTTGCTTTATCCAGCATGGGCATTTGCATTGCCGATCTGGATGTTGCGAGTTCCAATCTCATTTGGCGAGTCATTCATATGGATTGCCTTAACCTATTACACTATTGGGTTTGCTCCATCAATAGACAGGTTTTTCAAGCAGTTTCTTACACTCGTTTGTATAAATCAGATGGCTCAAGGTCTATTCCGCTCTATTGCGGCAGTAGCTAGATCAGTTGTGGCAGCACCAGTCGTTGGTATGTTCATGTTGCTAGTCATTTTTGTCTTCGGGGGGTTCATTATTGCCAAAGGTTGATTATTTCTCTAACATATTCCCTGTTTATTAATGATCACGCTCTTATAAACGTGACACTGATGATCTCTTTATGCTTGTAGATGACATCCAACCATGGCTGATTTGGGGCTACTACATTTCCCCAATGATGTATGCTCAGAATGCTATCATGATTAATGAATTTCTCGACGAAAGATGGAGTGGTGTAAGATCGATATCTTGAGATTACCTCTGAATTTGGTTCTTTTAACATTGACTGACTTATCCAAATTATTATCTTTTGGCACACCACTCATGTGGCTTTCCTTGTTGCAGCCCAATCCTGATTCTAGAATCACAGAGGCAACAGTTGGGAAGGCCCTCCTCAAAATGAGAGGCATGTTTGTAGAAAACAAGTGGTATTGGATATCAATTGGGGCACTCATAGGATTTACTATCATATATAACACATGCTTCATTCTCGCCTTAACGTACTTGGACTGTAAGCAACCAATCTCTTTTCATTCGGATAATAATTGTTATTTTATATGTCCGTCAATGATGCAACAATTGTAGCTCACCAGATGTTTGAACTATGTGCTTGTAGCTTTGGAAGATTCTAAAACCGTAATATTGGACGATAATCGAAATAAAAAATCATCCAACACTTCTAAACTAAACTCAAGTTCATTCAAGATGTCCACAACCACATCCTGTGCCTCGATGAAAGGTATGTCGGTTATAATAATTTGATAGATACAGATTCACATAATGTTTTGCACCTTCTGGTAACTTTAGAACATGTCTCTTTAAACTAACAAAGGTGAAACACTTGTTTCCAGGCCCGAATGAAGAATCTAGGCGAAGGGGAATGGTATTGCCCTTCAAACCTTTGTCATTGGCATTTAAGAATGTTAACTACTATGTTGATATGCCTGCGGTAAAGAAACACTCTCTGATTTCACTTATAAGTCTTTTCAAACATTATCAAAGTCCAATATCGAAGTGCATTTTTAAAGTTTTTTTACAACCATTTACTAGGAAATGAAGTCCCAAGGAGTAGAAGAGGAGAGACTGCAACTACTGCATGATGTTAGTGGCGCTTTTAGGCCAGGAATTTTGACAGCACTAGTTGGGGTTAGTGGTGCAGGGAAGACTACTTTGATGGATGTTTTAGCAGGAAGGAAAACTGGAGGGTACATTGATGGAAGCATCAACATTTCTGGTTATCCCAAGAATCAAAGGACGTTTGCTCGAATTAGCGGGTATTGTGAACAAAATGATATCCATAGTCCACGGATTACTGTATATGAGTCCCTTCTGCACTCTGCATGGCTGCGACTTCCCAAGAGTGTCAACAAGCAAGATAGAACGGTAGTCTTGCTTGATTGATAAAACTTGTGCCTAGTGTTAATTATTTTTCTAGGGAGACAGTTGTTTTCAAATTTACTGACCTCATTGCATGATGTAGATGTTCATTGAAGAAGTGATTGAGCTGGTTGAGCTAAGCCCGTTGAGGAACTCGATAGTTGGCCTTCCTGGATCAAATGGTTTGTCAACTGAGCAAAGAAAGAGACTCACCATAGCTGTTGAGCTAGTTGCGAATCCTTCAATAATTTTCATGGATGAGCCAACATCTGGTCTTGATGCTCGAGCTGCTGCAATTGTTATACGGACCGTTAGAAACACAGTGGATACGGGAAGAACTGTTGTCTGCACCATACATCAACCAAGCATCGACATCTTTGAATCTTTTGATGAGGTATAAATCATGCCTTTTTTATTCAGCGCACATCACATTTGTATTTGCTTGGCATCTCCATCATATTTTTGGCAAATGTGAATGCTTTGGCCAAAATCTTCGCCTTTCACTTCTTCTGTAGCTGTTGTTGATGAAGAGAGGAGGGCATGTTATATATGCGGGCTCTCTTGGATGTAATTCTCAGAAGCTTATAGAATATTTTGAGGTAAGATTAAAATTATATTGCATTTCATTATTGATCCAACTATAATGGAAGACAAACCATATGACCACTTTAAGTTCATGTTTGTATCTAATTTTTTACTGTGATTAGGCTGTCCAAATGGTTCCTAAGATCCAAGAGGGTACCAATCCTGCTACATGGATGCTTGATATTAGCTCCACGGCCGTAGAATCCCAGCTGAATGTAGACTTTGCTAAACTTTATTATCTTTCTAAACTATACAAGTGAGTGTCAAACTAGTTTATCTTTGCTTATGATCCTTCTAAATCTAACTTATACTCTTTACTTAGCTAAAAAATCTCATCTTTTGGTTTCAGAAAGAACCAGGAGCTGATTAAAGAGCTAAGTACTCCAACACCAGGGTCAAAGGACCTATATTTCCCTACACAATATGCACAAGATTTTTTAACGCAGTACAGAGCTTGCTTTATGAAGTTGCATCGATCATATTGGCAAAACCCATCATACAATGTCACAAGATTTTTCCTCACAACAGTTTTTGGTGTTCTCTTTGGAATTATATTCTGGAACAAGGGACAACAGACGTAAGCATGTGAAAATCAATAAATCAAAATCATAACTTAGAATCACCATGAGCACCATTTCCATTATTAAAACTCATGACTTTTTCTATTGTATGTTTTATCAACTCTGATCATACAGGGCAACACAACAAGACGTGTTCAACTTGCTTGGAGCTACTTATAGTGCCATAATGTTCCTTGGAGGAAGTACATGTTCTGCTGTGATGCCTATTGTTTCGATAGAAAGAACAATCTTATACCGTGAAAGAGCAGCAGGGATGTACTCAGAAGTGGCTTTTGCAATTGCTCAGGTCTCCATTGAAGCAGTCTATGTGGCAGTCCAGACCTTCTTCTACTGTACGATATTGTTCTTCATGATTGGCTTCCCGTGGCACCTGGGGAACTTCCTTTGGTACTATTTCTTCATGTCCATGAGTTTCCTCTACTTCACTCTCTATGGGATGATGCTTCTTGCCCTCACTCCAGGCTACCAAATAGCTACAATCGCCATGTCGTTCTTCCTGGCCACATGGAATCTCTTCTCGGGCTTCCTAATTCTCCGAACGGTAAACCCTAAACAAATGAATCTATTCTCGGGCTTCCTAATAACATACATGTCATTCTAAGGATAACAATTTTATGTTTATGTTTGGCAGGAAATCCCAATATGGTGGAGATGGTACTACTGGGCATCCCCAATGGCATGGACAATCTATGGGTTGTTCGCTTCCCAACTGGGAAACGTAGAGAGTCTCGTGGAAGTAGCAGGGCATGGCAGCATGCCGGTAAAGCAGTTCTTGAAACAATCATTTGGGTTTGATTATGAATTCCTTGGAATTGTTGCAGCTGCCCACGTTTGTTTTGTGCTCTTCTTCTTGTTTGTGTTTGCTTATGGGATAAAGTTTCTGAATTTCCAGAGGAGATAAAGTAAAGATGGATGATAAAGAGATAAAACGTCATTTTAGAATTTGTATCTAGGAAAATGAACAATTTTGGGGCTCATTCGTCCTTCTTGTGAAGCTATACCGAGCCAAAATTGTTTAGTATGAGAGATCTCATTCATGTTCTTTATATATGAAAGTTGGATATGCTTTATTGATACAAACAATTTTGTAATGTTCTAGCGGATGGAGAAAAAGAGTCTGCCAGCTCTGTTTCTATGTCCTCTCACCCGAGGTGGTTAAACCTCTACTGATCGGTCGGTTGAACCCAGCCCGACCAAAGTCAGTCTCCAAAATGGTCTCTAGAAAGTCAGTGGTCCTGCCGTTAGATAGAGAGAAGAGAGGAGGGGGATAGAGGAAAGGTGGATGGCTATATATATATGGTGGCGTCTTTAGTGCACTCACTTTTTTGGGTGCATTCAGTGCACTCGCTTCATAACCGTCATTTTAAACATGCGATTTATGTCAAAATGATGTCAATCATTATTTATGGTGTGATGAACAATAACGCACATGAATTTGCACAAAAATCATTAAAGATTTACTTTAATTTGAAGGATTTAGAGTATAGAGATTTAGGGTTAGGGTTTACAATTTGGGGTTTAGAGATAGAACTCAAAATTTGAGGTCTAGGGCTTACGGTAATCCGCTAATTAGTTGTTATCATATGTTATATCATCATATTACACAAATTCCACAAATAAAAATTTAAAATCCGACATCTTAAGACTAGTTTTTGAGTTGGGTGCATTGAACGCACTCATTTTTGTGAGTGCACCGAAGTAGTCACCATATATATATATATACAAATTGCCATGCGGGTTAGGTCGGATAATATCCCACAGGTTGGGTTCAAATTGGCATCATTACTCACTTAACGAAAGTGGAAAAACAGTAATCAAAAGAATATAAAATGGTACAGTTTTGTGAGAGTTTTCACCTATGTTTTTAGAACAAGACCAGATGTTGAACTAATTTTTTTTTGTGGTTTATAGTTCAGCGGCTAACCATTATAGATTGTTGGTCAATTGTTGATAGATATGTTCGTGTATAATAAAATAAAAGAGATATATATAAAATACATTAATTTAGAACTGAATTTATCACTAATCATAAATAATTTCAAACCTATATAATCCATCATCAAAATTTCTAACAAACCATTCTAACTACCTCACAAAAGAAATCAATTTTTTTAAGTGAAAGGTAGTAATTAGGATGGCAATACGTAATGTACCACATAGAATCGACAAGGAAGCTGAGAAACGAGGAATAGAAAGTAGAAATAAAATTATTAATTCAGGTTGGATAATTTTTGTTTATATTTAACTTTTTTTAATGGTTACTGTTGACCAGCCAAATAGGGGTGGTTCATTCATCTGGTTTCAAATCGTTAAAAATCGTTCGGTTCATCCCTATTTATCCAAGCACATGAACTGAATCGTTATTATAATCGATTTGATGGTTATACCAATCCAATTGATAATCCGGTTCGGTTCATATAACAATGGTTATAACATTCAAAATTCCATGACATTAGCTAACTTTTTTTAGGGGTGTATCAGCTCTGTATACTTATAAACTGCGCAAATAGCCAAATATATTTATGCTTGGACTTTTTTCCTTCAATGTGGGCCATACATTTTACTTGATTGGCTTCAACCCACCATTCACGGACTAAGATCATGTGACTAATGGGGGTCCCTTTAGTCATGTGACTAAGTGCATTTCAATCATACAACCTCATTTAAATCTAATAGCTCTAAATAATTTAATTTAATGAAGGATAGAGTAGTAATTTTACATTTTATTTATTTAACAATTAAAATATAATTGGAGCTTCCCACCCCCCTTCCGCTCTGTCCCGCCAGTCACCGGTTCCTCCCGACAGCCAGCAATTCCTCCGCCTTCCGCCGGCCTCCCATCTTCCTTCTGTGGGAAATATTGTCTCGGAGAAAGAGAGAAGTGGCTTGGGAATCTAGAGAGAGATAGAGAGAGATGACATCGATGGTTTTTTGGTGGTGGAGTGAATTGTCCGGCGGACCTGCAGTTTTGTAATGTTTGTCGATCTATTTTGTAATGTTCATAAGTCTGGTTTGTAATGTTAATTTTTATCATTCTAGTTTGTTAATTTTGTCTATTGTGTTTGTGATGTTTATATGACTTATTTGTATATTTTGATTTGTAATATTTGTTAATCTAGTTTGTATACTATGATTTGTATACTTCGTATTCATTGATTTGCAATACAAGTTTATCGATTTGTATTGTAAGTAGTGTTATTTTGTACTGTTAGTATACTTTGTAATGTTTGTCGGTTTATTCTGTAATGTTTGTAAGCTTTGTTATTTTTGTAATGTTTGTCGGTTTCTTTTGTAATGTTTGTAAACTTTGCTATTTTTGTGCACCATGTTTGTCATTTTTTTTCAATGTTTGTAATGTTTTTTTATGTCTAAAAAACAACCTGGTTGACTTTTAGATGAAACTCCTCTATATAGAGATGGAGCCTCCAAAGTCAACCCGGGTGTTTTTTCATTTTGTATGGTTTGTCGGTCTAGTTTGTCATTTTTGTCCATCATGTTTGTATGTCTAAAAAACAACGGCTTGACTTTGGGAAGAAGCCCCTCTATATAGGGATTGAGCCTACAAAGTAAACCCGGTTATATTTTTATTTTATATGGTTTGTATTGTTAGTCGGTCTTGTTTGTACAGTTCGTACGTTTGTATGTTTTGTTGTTATAGTTTGTAATGTTTGTACTGTTTTTAAGTATGATTTGTATACTTCGTAATTTTTCATAATACCCAAAATACCCCTATCACTAATTAAAAATCTCTTCCCACTTTCATGTGATCCGCCCTCACCATTCACAGAAACTCCAAAAATTGCTGCCATTATAAAAAAAAATATCACAAATGTCAATGTAAGTGTATCTACACAATAAATAAAAGCCAAATGAGAAAACTTGAAGCCCCATTTCAAATTTCCTGCATCCAGAGTGAAAGTAGGAATTGAAGGACATTTTGGTCTTCACAATTACTTTTTTTTATTCATTAAAAAGACACTTACTATGATTCGAACCATGACCACTTTAAAGAAAAGTAAAGATCATAACCAATCACACTAAGTACATTTGTTGTATTTTTTTAAATTAAAAACATATAATCGCAGAGAGGAAAAAACCATTCCCCCATTTCAAATTCCTTGCTCCAGGAGCGTTTGTAGGAATGGTAGAATAGGGAGTGTCAATTTTTTTCTTTTTCCTCGGTGGAACGGGCCAACTTATCGTACACATGCGAATTTAAACGGGTCCAGGAGTGTCAATTTTTTTCTTTCAGTCCTTTTATTTCTCCGTGGTTGTAAAATATATATATGAAAAGACAAAAAAATACTCCTTTTTATTGCTAAAAAGAAAAAAATTTAATAATAAACTAATGCATGAATTCTAATGGGCTAACCGCTAATCATAAAATAAAAGAGTTGAATGAGTCTGACCTACACGGGATTTGCCCATCAAGTACAACAAATGAACATCATGGTTTTGTCATTCTAAAAAAACTATTTTCTCTAGCATAATATATAGTATGCAATTATTTTATATCTTACTAGCTAAAATATAATGTATTTTAAAGTTATTCAATAGTTCAACCTCGACCAACCCAATTAGTCCAATTTTTATCATTTCAAATATATATTATGTAATTATTTGATATCATAATGATTAAATTATAGTGTATATTATAGGGAATCGTTTGGTATTTGTTAGTAAAAAACTAAATAGAAAGATCTATTTGGTTATTTTTAACATTAAAACGATCCTAAACATTTTTCAGTTTTCTTTCGAAATTCTATAGTTTTATTCCCGAATCAGTGATGTGCAAATGGCGAATTGCAGTCATCTCTTTTCTTTCATTATTTTTTATTTTCAAATAGAAAGTTTTAAAGTAAAGAATAATTACAGTTTGGCATGGGTCGGTCAAACATGCTGAATTTCAAGTTTTGGCCCGTTTTGATCAAGTCTAATTTATAATCACATGGTTCCCTGATACCCGATAAAAATCTCAATCCAAACCAGTTTGGCAGGTGAGTCCGTGTTTACCACCCTTTTCTAGGGATACAGGAACGGTAGTTCATATCCCAAATCGTGTTGTTCATTCTTGATTTCTTTAGATTTTATCATGGCTTGGCAAAAAACCAAAAAGCACAATGATGACAAGATGAAAGGTTTATAAAGCAAATTAATTGGCCAACAGGCCGAGTAAAAGCTAGCAACGATTGTGAGATGCTCATTTCCCGAAAACCGGCGGGATAGGCGATTTTTTATTCGATTTTCTGGAATTCGGTTTCTATAAAACTTACTCTACCTCATCATATTACCAGAAACAATATTGTTTCACAAGGGAACAAGTACTTGATTTTGGTTCATAAGGCTAATTTTTGATTCGTTGCATCATTCATATCTTTTTCCTACTAAAATTCACTATTTTTATCACGTGTTTCCCACAAAAAAAAACTATGCAACAATAAGCTATACAGCCTAGGGGTGGCTATACGGTCAGGTCCGGTTAAATTGGCCCAAATTGATCCGGTCCAGTCCGGTTTTTTTGAAAATATAAGGACCGAAGATTGGATTGGATACAGTCCGGTCTTGATCCGGTCGGGTCCCAATTCGGTCTTGATTTTATATTGAGATTGTGGGAATTTGAGTGGCCTAAGGCCTAAAAGGGTGAGGAGTTGGTTAAGTTTTGTACTAAGTGCAAATGTTTGTGACCGTTTATGCAAATTACCCTTAAGTTTTGGGTGTTGAGCTCTCTTATCCGGTTTTTTACCTCAAATCTAAGCCCAAAGATTGGATTGAATTGTTTACTATCCGGTCCAGTCTCGGTCTGGGTTATACGGTCCGGGTTATACGGTCCGGTTTCCGGTTTTTCATCCGGTCCCGGTCCAAATAGCCAGCCTTAATACAACCTATTACATTATCAAATTTCATACCTCACCTTCCTTTGGTCAAATGGCCGGGCCCACGCTAGTTTTGTCTATTTGTTACGAGAAACAAGCAGAAAATAACTAACTACACATGTTCATCCTCTCTTGAGATTATTTTTGACGAAATGTTAGTAGTTAGATTGAAAACTGAAATGTTCAACTACAAATTAAAGTCTGTACGTGCACTACGCCCGAAAGTTGAATTCCTTTTCAATTTTTTTGGAAAGCAATTGTGTGTTGCAAGGATTGAAATACCGTATCGGAAAAGTCAATGATAGAGTATATTATGCTGAAATTGTGATTTAATCCTAGTTCAACCGTTTTATTTTCAATAAAAAAAAAAAAAAAATTGGTCGAACCATTGATACGGTACAATTTTTCAATCCTTGTGTTAGGGTTCTACAAAGACCGGCAAGTAATGGGAGGGAAACAAGTGGGTTCTTTTCCTTGGGTGTCTTGTTTGTCTGGCGTTCATTTTCAACCCACTTGTTGAAATTGTTCTGTTTCCCTTGTCCTTCAGGGAAGAGGTTGCCGGCCGGCTAAGGAAAAGAATCGAAGGGGGAAAAAACAAAGGAGTAGAGCTTGGAACAAGAACAACAAGACACTTGGAGGAGGGCTGGAAATAGTGACAGACTGCCTACTCTATAATAATAACAACTAGTATTTATTTTTCCTTTCCCAGACAAAGAAAGAAAGAAAGAAAGAATCAAGTCGTCTCGTTGCAGACCAATGGTCATTCTTTTACTTAACTAATAATGAAGGCATCATCGTGGGTTACCTAATCTTGCCATCAAGAGACTGCAGCCGGCCAGCCCTTCTGTTTAATTTATATGTACGTACATTAATTACTACATAAGGCAGCTTCTAGCTAATCTCTACCTTGAAAAGATCAGTAGTAATAAGAAGAAGAAGAAGAAGAAGAAGAAGAAGAAGAAGAAGAAGAAGAAGAAGAAGAAGAAGAAGAAGAAGAAGAAGAAGAAGAGTTTCGCTTAGAAATGGTGGGATTGGAACGGAAGTTTGGAGGGTCTCTGGCTGTTCCCAATGTTCAACAACTCGCTTTGAGCTCGAATGATATCGTACCCATCAGGTACATACACCCCGAACTCGATCTTGAACGAGTTTCTAATGACGAGTACTCTGGCTATCTCCCGGTAATCGATATAGGAAAGCTCGTTGGTGGTGGCTGTGATGTTGATGGCGAGTTAGCTAAGCTTCATTCTGCATGCAGAGAGTGGGGATTCTTCCAGGTATACAAGCAGCAACAACTAAATGATCCCTAGCTAGTAGTTTCACTTCTCCTGTGCAAATTGTCATGCATGTTTCGATCTTGGGTTTCAACAAGTTTCTTGAGCAAGAATTGTGTCAGGTTCCACAACCTATATAATATATATATATATATATAGATTCACTTTAGATTCCATGAATCGCATGTCATTTTCACAATTCAAAGATTCGAACCACCCCTAAGCTAAGCTCGTGACTAATACCAAGCTGCACAGGTGATAAATCATGGAATTGTTGAGGAGGTGATCCTGAATATGAAAGCTGATGTCCAGCAGTTCTTCAAACAAACATTGCAAGAGAAAATGAAATGTGCACAGCTGCCAAATGACCTTGAAGGATATGGCCAAGCATTTGTTCTGTCTGAAGAGCAAAAACTTGATTGGAGCGACATGCTTTATATTCTTGCACAACCTATGGAGAGAAGGAACATGAGGGTTTGGCCAACCGTTCCCTCTTCTTTCAGGTTTGTTCCCTCAACTATTAATAATTAGTAGTGTAGTTTGTAGACACCACATTTTGTTCAGGTTAAGATATCTTCATTTCACATTTCGGTTTTGACCCTAAGATTAAAACTAGACAAAATAATGTTCGATCGACAACAAGTAAAATCGATGGCAACTCCGAGAGATACGCAAGTGGCCCCTAATTTCGATGGACGGTTGTGACCTTTAGTACACCGAATGGAATTTTGGTGTTCATAAATTGTTAATTCTAACAATAATAAACAAATTTTGGGTGCATTCAATGCACTCGTCTCATAGTTGTCATTCCAAACATGCGATTCATTCCAAAATGGTATCGATCGTCAGTTGTGATATGACGAACAAGAAACACATGAGTTTGAAAAAAAATCATTCAAGATTTACTTTAATATGAAGGATTAAGGGTTTAGGGATTTAGGATTAGGGTTAGGGTTAGTGTTTGTAATTTGGGGGTTTGAGTTTGGATTCAAAATTGAAGGTTTAGGGATTAGGGTAATGGATTGATTAGTTATGATCATATGTTATATTATCATATCATACTAATGCTACCAATTAATTTCAAAATTTGATGTCTGATGATTTCTTTTAGAGTTGGGTGTATTGTATGCACTCATTTTTGTGGGTGCACCGAAGTAGCCACCATGTATATAATTCAGGCTAGCGTAGGCTCGTTGAGTTTTGTTATTTAGATCATCAATTAACCGGAGTTTGATGCATGATACTATACCCTAACATGTAATGGGTGAACTCCAGTCCCTAATTTTCTAACGCAAACCTTGAGATTCGTTTAGTTTTAAAATGAAAATCAAATATAATTTCGACGAATCAGAATCGTTGATTTTCATTACGATTAATAAACTACGCTTTGAGTTAGTGAATTGAGTACTGGAGTTCACCCATTAAAAGTTAGGGTATAGCATCATGCCTCAAACTCCTGCTAATTCAATATCTAAATAGCAAAACGCGACGGACATACGATAAGTTAAGCATACACCCGATGTACGCTAGCTTTTATTATACAGATACATATATAATCTGCGAGTAACGATTCGAACTAGACATGCATGCTTGCATATCTCACCCATTATTCAAATTGATCACATTTCTCTCTCCCAATTCATGTATAACTCACATCATGTAATGGCCCAACCGTATTTAATTAATTGGGTCTAGAATGAATCGGACCTTGCCTTTGTCATACTTCTATATATATGGTCTGATTAGTGATTACGGAGCACTTCTACTATGCTATATAACATTGGTGCTTTAATGTATTATTTGAAGTTGTACTATAATATTAAATGTATAGTTTAGGTTGTACCATAAAAAAATTTGTACCATTATGTTATGGTACAACTTTACAACTTGAAGTTGTACAATCACATAGAGGTACAAGTTCAAGTTGTCTCATTAAAGAATTTATACAAAAAGTATAGGTACGATATGAAGTAGGGATGGCAATCAAACCCCTGACCGCGGGTACCCGACTGTCTCCGACCCAGTCAACGCGGGGAATCCCCGTACGTTTTGACCGGGTATGGGGCGGGTACGGGTAAAACCCGCAAAAAGTTTGATGGTTATGGGGCGGGTATGGTTTTAGCCTCCCCCGCCCCATACCCATACCCATACCCGCCCCACCAAGAGAATTTCTTCACATATAAAAAAATATGTGGATTAAATTGTAATCTATCAATGACGATGATGATAACTCGAGAAAATAAATAGTAGAAATGCAATTGAGTAACCACCTTAATCAAAACCTAATTCATTTTCCTCAATTCTCCTTCACTCTTTCACTTTCCCCCTTGCCAACAAGATTATGTTTGTTAATTATTACTTAGTAAATGTATCAAGAGTTAGAGCATAATAATTTTAAAAATATTGTAGTCTATATTATGTATTAATGAATATTTTAGGATCATATTCTTTGAACCGTATTTGTAAGTTTTAGGTATAATAATGTTGGATGTACGGGGACGGGTATTACCCATGGGTACCCGAAACCCACGGGTACGGGGATGGGTTTGCAAAACATTCCCCCGCATGGGTATGGGGCGGGTATGGGTTTGAGTATTTGAAGATGGGGATGGTTTAGGCAAACCCGCCCCATTGCCATCCTTAATATGAAGTTGTACCATAACATTAAATGTACAATTTTAAGTTGTACCACAAAGACAAAAACCTAATTGCCACCCACTTGTAACTAATCAAGTGCTTGCCTTCTTCACAGGACAACTCTGGACGAGTATTCATCAGAAGTTGGAAAGTTGTCAATCATCCTACTAGGTTTTGTGGCCAGGAACCTAGGACTCGATCCAGAAAAGCTTATCTCGTCGTTCAGAGAAGGTCCTCAAGGTATAAGAATGAACTACATTCCATCATGCAAGCAAGCGAGCAAGGTCATTGGTCTCCACCCACATTCCGACGTCGATGGATTGACATTGTTGACTCAAGTGAATGAAGTTCAAGGATTACAAATCAAGAGAGATGGGAAATGGGTCCCCATTGCTCCCATACCAGGTGCCTTCGTAGTCAATGTCGGCGACATCATTGAGGTACGTAGGTAATTTGAGTAGCTAGCTAGGATTGGCACTCTAATTAATTAAGGTCAGTTTGAACTTTGAACAAATTAAAGAACTTGCATAGATAGATAGATAATGTCGTACGTGTGTTCGCCCGGCCGTGACAGATAATGAGCAATGGAGAATACAAGAGCGTAGAGCACAGAGTGGTTGTGAACCCCGAAAAGGAGAGGCTGTCGATTGCAGCATTCCACAACACAAACTCCAATGCCGTGATCGGCCCATTGCCGGACCTCATCAATAGGGGGGATCAGAAGCAAGCACCGAAATATAAAACCGTGTCTACCACGGATTACATCAAGCTTGTTATGAGGTCTACACTCGACGGAAAATGCCTCATTGACGAGATGAAGATACGAACAGAAGCAGCAGCAGCTAGCAGTGAAGAAAAGCCCATGATCAAACCTAGCTAGATAGCTAGCTGCAAATTAGTCCAAGCTATATATATGACATGCATGAGTTAAATGTTTGAGATGCATAATTTCTGCGTACACTTTGTACGTAGATGAGATGAGATTCATATGTGCATCCCTATATGTAATCCTGGACCATGAGCAAGATAGCGCGGATGCATGGGACCGTTTCTTCCAGTACTTGTGACTAATTAGAATTTTTTTTTTTTTGTGTGTGGTTTTTCTAACAACTTTTCATTGAGTGGATGTATGGAACCTGCGGGCTGTCAATTTTATTTGGTTTCGTTGACCAAACCATTAAGAATGAAACCAAACAACCTGCCTTATGAGTGTTCAGTTACTAAAAAACCGATAAGACTCTTAACGATTTTGGTTTCAGTTTGAATAAACTTTAAAAACAAATTATACATAAAAATAAATTAACTATGATTTACAAAATGTTATCCATTTGACATATTTTGGTTAAATTTTTTTCCTAATAATGTATACAGCCACCATGATTTATTTTCCATACCACCATGGTATTTGTATAAGACACCACAAATGATGTTTTTTATTCTAAAATATATCACAGTAATTATCATTTTGTACTCTAAAAAAAAGTGGTATATTATCATTTTGAACAAATCAACACCGTCGATTATTATTATATAATTAAATCGATCTTTACGTTTAGGTTTCGAGAAACGAAAGATAGTGGTTATCCATAAGAGTTTAAGACATAGTGTCATACCCAAAATATAAATACAGAAAGTATATATGATAAACTTCACAAGTAAACCGATGGACACTCATGTCATGTGAATGTGATACATTAATGAGAATACATAACAACTCATATTTATAAACACGAGTATACAAAACAAGTTGTTATATAATGGACGATGCAATTGGTTGAAGATAATTATAGACTTGAAAAACATTTATTTAATAACGGACTGCACCATATATGGTCCAGTCGCCGGTCTCAATCCGCTGGCAAGGTAGTAATTAAATGGAAGGAAGAGGGTTATAGCGGACAACAGGAATTAGTTCCAAATGGTTTTCCCTCCTCAGTGTGACGCCAAACTTTTCATCCATATTGAAGCTTGTGGGCTCAACTCCACGGGGAAGTTCCCAATCAAAATGGAACAACAGACTTGCTAGAGGAAGTTCCGCAGCTGCCAATCCGAAAGTCATCCCAGGACACATTCTTCTTCCCGCTCCAAAAGGGAGGAACTCAAAATCACCTCCCCTGAAACTGACTTTATTATTCAGGAACCTCTCGGGCATGAACTTCTCGGCTTCTTCGCCCCAGTAGCGAGGATCCCTTGCAATGGCCCACGCATTCACAAGTATTCTCGTCTTAAGGGGAATATCGTACCCGCTGATCCGACACTCTTCTCTGCACTCCCTGGGAAGCACCAACGGGGCGGGAGTGTGCAATCTCAGCGTCTCTTTGATCACCAGTTTCAGATAGGCGAGCTCACAGATCCCCGCTTCTTCGACCCTTCCTTTCCCACCAAACACTCTTCTCACCTCGGATTGCGCCTTGTACATCACTTCTGGGTTTTTTATCAGTTCCGACATTGTCCATTCTATCAGTGCGGCTGGAGTCTCGCTCCCGGCAAGAAAAATGTCCTGGAAACCCAATCAATTAAATAATGGCATGACGCGTGGTCAACAATCTATGTCATGCGTTTAATATAGAATGAGAGCGGACAAAAGGAAACATATAGATCTTTTGGTCAACATTGGACGACATAAATTCCATTAGAGTCAGACAACGTACGTAACGCACGCACGTTTGATTGAATGTTAGTTACACGCGCGTACGTACCAGGAGGAAACCCTTGACAGCATCGGTTGACAAGCGGAAACCAAGCGTGGTGTCGTTTTCCTGAAGATTCAAGAGGACGTCGAGAAGATCCTCTTCCTCTTCCTCCGCCCTCGACTTCCCCTCCTGCGCTGCTCTCCTGGCCTGATGTTGCTCGATCATGCTCTCCGCCAGCCCGTCGACGACCTTCTGTATCCCGTCCAGAAACTCCTCCGTCCCCGACAGCATCTGCACCAGGGCGTTCGACGGGAACAGGTAGGCGACCTTGAACCCTCCCGCATACTCCACCAGCTTCTCCGCAACCTTTATGAACTCCTCCTGGCCCCTCGACACGTCCCCGAACGTCGACATCGATATTATCCTGTACATTACATATGTAGTGGTGACAATTTGTGATCCAATCCAATCTATCCAGTTAAATATTTAACTAATCCAATCCATCAATGCATTTGTCAGTACCTGTACGTAAAGCTGAACAACATCCTGGTCAGGTCGATCGTGGCCCCAGGGGACGAAGCCGCAATGGACGCGACGAGGGTCCTAACCTCCGCCTCCCTGACCCGGCGGAGGGACCTGACGCGCTTGGCGGTGAGGAGCTCGAGCGTGGCGATGCGGCGCAGCTGGCGCCAGTAGTCGCCGTAGGGAGCCTGGATGAGGTCCATCCCGCCGTACACCACCTTCTCGTAGTGCGGGTGCGGCGGCCGCTGCGCGAACTTGACGTCGTGGGTCCGCATCACCTCCATGGCAGCCTCCGCCGACGAGATCAGCACGTGCGAGATCTCTCCCAGCTCCAGCCGTATCACGTCGCCGTGTTTCCGTGACAGCTCGCGGAGGAGCCGGTGCGGCGGCTGGCGGCTCGTTAGGAAGTGGTGGAGGTGTCCGATCACGGGGAGCCTCCAGCCGGGAGCCGGAGCCAGCTGGCGTCCGGGTTTTTTTCTTCCTTGCGCCCATCTTTTGGGTGAAAATATAATTATGATGATGATGGAGATAATTAAGAGGAGGAAGATGGGAATTATTTGCAGGAGGAGCTCCATATCTGATTATTTGTGGTGATCTACGTGAGCTCGATCTCTATATAACGGGCGTCGGTCTCAGAGATGGGTTACAAATATCTTATTGTCGGTGAAGTGTCCAGATCATTCCGTTCCTCATCGTCCGTCCACTATTTATTTGTTTTTTTTTTTTTTTTTTTGTGTGTGGACTGAACAGTACTTTTAATACAAATTAGTGTCGATAATTAACCAAGTTGTTCATTAATTAGTTATTGATGGATGTCATCAGCGATCAATACAAGACAGTGTAGAGCATTGGGCCACATTTAGAAAAAGACGAAGAGGATTAGATCACTAATCGAAAATTTACAAAAAAGAAGATAGTACTGGGAGGGAAAATTGAACTTTAATTTTTTCATAAAACCCCCTAATTCACATACAGACAAGAAATCCAAGTCACATTCCACAAAGAATATCCTGTTTTTAAGCGAGAGTTGTTGCCTTGTTGGCCCAATTTTATCGGCGATAGAACACACAATTCAACCAGTCAACCTATCTTTCAGAATATTCCCTCTCCGCCTACCATTTTCCTCCCCGACATTTAGCAAACTTTTTACAGTTTTGTCTTTTGTGTCTCGGGATCATCTGCGGTCCACTTTCCTTATTTTTATATACTAGCAAAAGCCAACTTGCTATCGCTTCGGAGGAATTTTACAATGCTATATAGCATTGGTGCTATAGGTTTTTGCTGTTATGGTACAACTTGAAATTGTACCTTTAACATTATGGTACAATTTCATATTGTACCTATACTTTTTGTACAAATTCTTTTATGGTATAACTTAAACTTGTACCTTATGTGATGGTACAACTTCAAGTTGTAAAGTTGTACCATAACATAATGATACAAATTCCTTTATGGTACAACCTAAACTTATACATTTAATGTTATGGTACAACTTCAAGTTGTACATTAAAGCACCAATGCTATATAGCATAGTAGAAGTGCTCATCGCTTCGTCTATAAAAAAATAAATATTTTAAATAGTAATAATTTTAATGTTGATCAAAAGTGAAAGTAAACTTATTTCATTTTTAATCATACTTTTCATAGTTTTGTTATTTACAATAGCATATGATCGATGAACTTGCATAAGTTAGAAGAGTCGTCAAATAGATTATGTATGTTTAAACTTTTTTCATGACGCCAATGTATCAATTTGTATGAGTAGTAGTTGATCCTGCTATAACTTTTGCAGAATGAAGTAGTTTTTTCTGGATCTTTTTTCTAATTAGGTTGGATACCCAGAAAAAGCAAAATGAAAAACACTAAACCTAAAACTTGCTACCGACTCAAAACTCGTCAACATCAGGTTTAACTCACTTTGATCTGGTTGGATCAAGTTTGGACAAATTCACACCTGACACAACACACCAATTACAAAAACAGATAAAACTCGCTCCCGCCGAAAACCTGTAAAATCGGGTTCAAATCGCTTTAGTCGGGTCGAATTAGGTTGTATACCCATGCGTTTGGACTCAATTGTCATTCTCAGCCAAAAGGGAAAGGATAAAAAAAATACTAAAGCGGATAAAACTCGCTAATGACCCCAACAAAAAGGAAAAAGTGAAAGAAAAAAACACTAAAGCGAACGAAACTCGATCCTGATACTAAACTCGCCAACATTGCGTAGATATGGTATGGATTTTCGGTAGCTGCATTGGGTTCAATTGTGATCATGCTCAACAAAAAGGAAAAAGAGAAAGAAAAAAACACTAAAGAGAATGAAACTCGGTCCCAATACAAAACTCGTGGTAGCGGCCTTGGGAAACGTTGGTGGGGAACAACTTAGGATTCCGCCGACATTATTTCGAGATAGGCTCAGAATGGTGGACAAAGGCGATGATTTGTATTCAAGTTAGAATACCCATGTGTTTGGGTTCAATTGTGATCATACTCAACAAAAAGGAAAAAAGAAAAAAACACTAAAGAGGATAAAACTCGATCCCGATACAAAATTCGTGGTAGCGGCCTTGGCAAACGGTGGTGGGGAAAACTTAGGATTCTGCCCGACAGTATTTCGATATGAGCTGCAAAATGGTGGGCAAAGGCGTTGATTTGTGCAAAAAGCCATAGACGAAAACCTAGCGAACAATAACTAAACATAAAGCGATGATTAGTGCAAAAAGACATAGACGAAAACCTAGCGAACAATAACTAAACACAAAGGTTGTAGAATGGAGAGTGGGGTAAAAGAAGGGTTTGAAACTTCCCCACTTGCACTTGGAAGAGTGTGAGAGCCACTAATGGATAGTTACTCACAACCTAGACATTATTTCGAGATGGGCTGCAAAGTGGTGGACAAAGGCGATGATTTGTATTCAAGTTAGAATACCCATGTGTTGGGCTTCAATTGTGATCATACTCAACAAAAAGGGGGAAAAAAAGAAGAAAAAACACTAAAGAGGATAAAACTCGGTCCCGATACAAAACTCGTGCTAGCGGCCTTGGGAAACGGTGGTGGGGAAAACTTAGGATTCCGTCGATAGTATTTCGAGATGAGCTGCAAAATGGTGGGCAAATGCGATGATTTGTGAAAAAAGTCCTAGACGAAAACCTATCGAACAATAATTAAACACGAAGGCGATGATTAGTGCAAAAAAACTTAGACGAAAACCTAGCGAACAATAACTAAACACAAAGGTTGTAGAATGGAGAGTGAGGTAAAAAAAAGGCTTAGAACTTTCCTACTTGCACTTGGAGGAGTGTGAGAGCTACTAATGAATAGTAACTCACAACCTAAACTTTTATATATTAATTAATTAATAATTAATGTAAACCTTAAGAGGACTTGAAGCGCGTTGTCTACTCGAACTAGCCACCGGTATATGGTGTTAGATTATTCTTAAGATTATAAGAGTATGGTGTCGTTTCTTTCTTGTGCGTTAGGTTTTGAATCATATATGAGATTGACGTAATTAATGGAGTTAGTTGGATATTAATTAACTATATAATTTCGCATCTGCTTTGAACGCTTGTCTCTTTGTCCACTCTTTATTCCAATAACCGAACCAAAGAACCTACCCTAGTACTGTTGACAAGGAATTCTTTGTCCTACATCCAATTTTGCTGTAAACACATTGTTATGTAATTATGAACTAAAACTCCTTTGTTTTTACTGTTTATTGCTAAAGTTTGTTGTTTTCGCTGTTTATTACTAACACTATAGAAACAATATTAAATTTTCCCTTTATTTTTAACTGAAATTTCATTATTAATAGCCAAAACTCTGTTATTTTTACTGTTTACTACTAAATAATATGAATAATTTTAAATTATTCATTTATTCTAACTGAAATTCCATCAATGTTTACTAAAATATTTAACATGTCATTAATTTGCATTATGCGAAAGTTTCGCAAGGTTAGTAAAATTTGACATAACATCAATAAGAGAAAATCGAAAGCTCCTTGTGCAATGGTCTCGCTCTCACGATTGGGAAAACCACGTGAACGCCTGTATTCTTTTCTTTCCCGCTTACATTATTTTTTATTATTATTAATTAGTATATCTATCCATTCATGCAATTGGAGGATGAACTTGTGGATTTGGTTATTAAATGTGTTATTTGGTTCAACGGAAGCAGTTAGATGGGTTATTTGGCACGTAGGAACTTGTTGTATACATAGGCAGCTGGAATCAAGACCTGTCTTTTGTTTCTGCTTGTCACACTCCCATCCTTGATGATTTTTTTCGTTTTTTGTTTTTATCCTTGATGATTCTTGTAAGCTATAACAACCAAAATCTCTAGTACGTGCACTGATCAGTCGATTCCAGTCAAGATTGGTACGCGAGGATGAAAGCTGGAGGAAAAAAACAAAGCATATGCTCCAGCCTCAGCCTGCAATGAGGTGATATATTCGTCTCTGCCGGCCAATCAGCCATGCCGTGTCACTCGTGACCGGTTATTGTCGTCGATCGGGTCTCATTTTAGTTTTGTTGCCGGCCGGTTACTTTTTACTATTTAAGTAAAGGCAATTTTTCACAACCGACATTTATATTTCGTCAAATAGTTGTTGTCTATTTGCAGCAAAACCTACAACTTATCGGTAAAGATAATAATAATTCTCTCACTACATCCATTTACTCCAGGACAGATTGTTGTTCAAATTCTCTATAAGTGGACTTTCTAGATAAATTAGCAACATCCCTTATTTTATTGTTGGTTTTAGAAGAAAATTATTGTGTCGTGTAATGCTTATTTTTAGAAGTTAGAATGGGTATATATATATATGGTTCAGGCTAGCGTACATTGTACGTCCGTCGAGTTTTACTATTTAGAGCACGAATTAATCGGAGTTTGAGACATGATACTATATTCTAACCTCTAATGACCCACGCATTCACAAGTATCCTCGTCTTCAAGGGAATATCGTCCGTTGATCCGGCACTCGTCTCTGTACTCCCCGGAAGCACAAGCGGGACGAGAGTGTGCAATCTCAGCGTCTCTTTGATCACCAGTTTGAGATAGGCGAGCTTACAAATCCCAGCCTCTTCCACGTACCCTTCCTCTCCCACCGAACACTCTTCTCTCATTTCAGATTGCGCCTTGTACATTACTTCTGGATTTTGTTATCATTTGCGACATTGTCCATTCTATCAGTGCAGCTGAGTCTCACTCCCGACAAGGAGAATGTCTTGGAAACCCAATTAATTAAATAATGCATGACCCGTGCGAATTCAGGGGGTGGCGACCCCGGGTCACGGCCCAACCCTCTTCTTGACCAGGGCCCCAACCTCGGGATCCCTGACCCGTCCGAGCGACCTCACGCACTTGGCGGTGAGGAGCTCGAGCGTTGGGACGCGGCGCAGCTAGCGCCAGTAGTCGTCGTAGGGAGCCTGGATGAGGTCCATCCTGCCATACACCACCTTCTCAAAGTGCGAGTGCGGGGGCCGCTACGCGAACTTGACGTCGTGGGTCCTCATCACCTACATGGCGGCTTCCGCCGACGAGATCAGCACGTGCGAGATCTCTCCCAAC